ACTATTATCGTAATCATAAAATGATTATCATTTGTTCTTTAAGAAAGAGTCGTGGTGGGAGTCAAAGCAGCTGAGGATCCGTCCCTTTCTCAGCTACACCCTTGACTGCGAAAAATTAGGAAATCATTTTTTTAATGTTTGACTCAGACATGAAGCAGTGATAGAAAACCCATGAATTGACCGATCTTGAATGTTATCTTCTTAAATCATTATTTTGCCTCTTGATTTAGAAATTCTTCATTCCAAGAATCAATTGAAAAATGGCTCGACTTTTCAACTGACACCTTATTATAGAAACTGACAACTGACCTTGAAAAGTAAATATTTGAATTATCAAACGGGTGGCTGAAATAACATTGATCAACACTTGATCGTTAAGTGTTTTGTGTTTACGTCTCTATTAAAGAAGATAAAATTTAAATAGTTTAAGTACCCATCGATTTTTTTGTTGTTGAGTACGTTGTATGCTTATTCAATGTAGAACATTCACCCCCTTCTACCTCCCTGTAAAGTCTGTTATGACGTTATTATCTCGACGGAGACTTGGTAAATAGTTTGGAATAGAAACTAAAGAAGCTTGTGAAATTAGACACTTACTCCACTCTAAAGTATGAAATAACATTAAATTTTCGTTGAACCTAAGGAATTGGAAAATGGTAGTCTAATTTCCAGACCACCTGAAGCGTTCATCATATTTCTCAATCACTCTAGCGTGAGTTGTGTTATGTTCAATATTCATGTGATTGTCTGAATCAACGAAGCGCTCGACACTATTTGGTTTACAATAAGTTTCAAAACAAAACGTACTTTCCATATCGCCCCAACAAAATTATACAAACCTAAAGCTTGAAATCTGACAAGAAGTTCTTACGAATGTTGGGTTGTAAATCACTCTTCAAGCATTGCTCGTTAGAGCGAGCTATCTTAACATTAAGGCCTTTTGTTTTTAAAAGAACTATGCTAATTTAAAAAGTTTAACTTGGACAATAAACCCCCATTTAGTTGCGTTGGCAACATCGCTAGATTGTTCCCTTCTCTGACAGTTTCGTTCTATCCGTCAAAATCTATTCGGATTAGAAGTTTTTTTTTCAAATTTGATTAAGAAGGAGGGCTTTCTTTACTTTTCTAAGCGAGATAATCTGAGTAAGAACGGTAAATTCGTGTAACAAGGTGACATCCGTGATGAGCATAATCAACAACTGAAACAGCCTTGGTCCTACATGTCTACAAGGAAATTCAAGGATTATTCAATACTTTAATACTTTTCTTGAAGCATAGAATGAAGCTGAAAATAGACCAAGGACTAAAAGGGCTTTAACCATACCTTAGGTCTTCGCCAAACGATTTGTTCTGGCGGCGCACGGCTGAAAAATATCGATTTATCGTTCGCTGGAAATTCGGAATCTTCGAACAGGCGCTCTTCCTTTTCGCATTGTGACTTGAGTTTGCTGTAACGCTGGTTCTTGAAATAATGCAGCTTTACCATAGCTCAAACAGATACGATTTCACGCTTAAATGGATTCATAGAGGCGTAAAGTGTGTCAAAATTTTGATTTTGTTAGTAGGTAACATCATCGGGGTTTTTATGGATGATGGCGCACAGAAGGGCCTGGGTCGAGTCTATTTAAAAAATCCATCTTGCTTTGTCTTCGAAAATGAACTCATAAGAAGAGTTAGTATGAAATATTACGTCAGTCATCAGTTTAAGAGAGATCTCTTTAAAGCTCATATCCCCACCCTCGTAATTTCGCTGGTAACAGCGTACCTATAACATTACCTCAGATCGTACCACCATCTCGCGGAGTAAACTTCATAAAGACTGGTTATTGGACGATTATGAGAGATTTCACCTCTAAAACAAATACCTTCTGTCTTATGCTAAAGAACCTCATATCAGTGAAACGAAATACTATGTCACAGTTTCTTTAACAGCGCAAATTAGCGCAGAAATCTCCATTTGTATTAATCACAGTCACGTACATGCATGTCACGCGCGCAGCTCTTTTCCTTCTTTCGTTCAATCATCGGAAACATCCACGGTTCACTTCGAATTTGAAAATTTATTTCTCATTAATTCCCCAATCCACATAAGAGTGTTACAAAAGTCTTACGATAGTAGTATAGAGAAAAAATTTAAAGAACTAACCAACTCCACCCTTTACTACAACAAACTTGCGGTCGTAACGATAGTTTTTTCTTCGTTTGCAATTTGGTAGCTGTAAAATTTCTATCTTTTGTCATCTGTAATAAAAATGGCAAAACTTTTCACTGGTACACACCATTTAAGGTTCTTGCTTTTCTTTTGTATCATTTGTGTAAAAGTGTCTAATAAAGTTTGTAGTGTGTGTTAAATACTTCAAAATAAGTTATAGCTCACATAAAAGCTTAGAAATATATTAGCTACGATATACGAGCTTACACTTCTAAGATAAGTAAACATTATCTTCCTAGAAGCATTTAGCATGCCGGTGAAATATTTCATACAACTATTCATTAGAAACCAGCGAAGCTGTAATTCAGCGAGAGAGCTCAAGTTCGCTCATTGCGTTTCCAATGCCCAGCTCAAGTCAATGAAAGTACCTGGCGTTTAACTAGGAAATACAATAACTGTTAATAAGTGCGGTTTGTAATGCTTTCTTGGCGACTAGAAAAATAGTTTTGATTTAACTTTTACAAAAACGATTATCAAAAGTTGCCCCTCCACTTATAAAAATTGTGTCAACTAGAATATTGATGGTTCATCAAAAGCGTAATGAATTACACGAACTCCACTTGTTTCCACAACGAAATACTGTTCTAGATCGTGGTTTATCAACGATATCTGTTGTCCGAAATATAAACAATTTCCCTTAGAGAAACCTTTAATTTAAAAGCATGCCAATTTTCTATATATTGCACTGCGGCTTTATGTCATAGAAAATATTCCACAAAGGTCTTCATATGATAATCGCAAAAAGTTTCCCTTTTTACTAGTGCTGAATTATTCAGCCCCATCCCTATCCGAAATGAGGTACCTGGCTCAGGCCAGACTAGCCCGCCATTTCATATACTAGGATCCTTATATATTCAAGCGCCAGTGCGGCTATTCGCGAATGGGTTGAAATTTGAGTGTCAATCTCTGTTCATCTCCAATTCCGGCTCTTTGGTACGAAGGAAGCTCGTACCAGTTTCCACGTTTTTCATAGGTTTGAGTTAAATAAGTTAAAGTCTGTCCAAATCGAGTGTTATCGTGTCATTTGTAGTTACTATGGCAAAAGCCTAAAAGGTTTTAAATAATTATCAAAAAAGGTAATCATGACAGAAAAAGGCTACACACTGCCTTATTTGTTTTTGGTTCTTCGGGTTTGAAATCTCGCGCCTAAGAAACAGGTGACAGTCACCTTAGAAAACAAAATAAAGAGAAAAAAAAGAAGAAAAGCGCGGTATTGGAACTTATACGCGCGTACCTGCGTTACGTCAGTGTCTATTTTCTACAGGAACTACGTCCTAATATGCGACCACAACTAATAAATGGAGAGCGCCGAGTAGACTTAACTCCTTACTACTTCTCTTCGGTCAGATAAGAGCTGGCATTAATAAGATCTATCATTCACAACAAAACAATACAATTCATGTAATTAGATGGCAAGCAGATCCTGGTAACATTTGACCTCCACGGTGACAACACCCGGCATTTGTACTTGGTGATTTCGTCTTCTTCCCATCAGCTGATGTGTTTCTGTCACGGCTTTGTTATTAATATCAATTGCTATCTTAGCTTGACCCATGAACGAGTCCCAGAACCAGTTGTAATCCCACACCTAAATGAAAAGACGACGAGAAAGACACCCACATAAGTACTTGTACCCACTGTCACGCAACGGCCATGTTGATGACGAAATTTCTTTCAAAGCACGAAAGCTTCACTACATAGGAGAACTATGAAAATACACG